GCCACTGTACTTTTGCACCCTGGCCCACTGCCTTCCCGTTGTGGTCCTGAGCAGGGCTGATCCCTCTGAGCTCAGTTTCTGCTCTGCAGCGGGATTACACCACTGCTCCCTATTTGAAACAGCAAGTTGTGTGTGGGTGTGTGTGGGTGTCTGGGTGTGCAGGGGCTCCATGCAACTGTGTGTATGTGCTCTCTATGTATTCAGCTTCGCTGTGGAGACACGAGAGTTGGCCCAAGGGAGGAGTGTTTTTCCTGAGTCTTTCTGCAGCAACTCCTTCTGGCCACTCTGAGAGGTCCCGGGGTACAGGAGTTTATTCCTCACACTGAACAGGGCTCCAGGGTTTTGCTGGATTCCCCATAAGGTAAACCCAGCATAGGGTTCCTACCCTCCACCCCAAACCAAGCCTGTGCCCCCTCATATCATGCCACTACCTCTTACACTGAAGGGAATGTCTGGGTCGCACTCCTTCCTATTGATCTAGTGTGGATCAATAGCACATGAATTTCATTCACTGTGGCCTCTGTTATGTAGTAAACAGTATTGCAATGAAACATCGTGCAACAAGATTTAATCTCCGTAAGTGCTTCTTTATTGGGAGAAGAGGTGGGTAAAAGAAAAGGGGTGTGAACTGTGGCTTTTATAAGATAAAGTATCTTCCCTCGGTACAGGTAGGAGTCAGCAGGAAAACTGCCTCCGGCCCTGGTCCTCTTCCCCTCATCTGAAGGTCTGGCTGGGCACTGACACACTGTCGTCAGGCCTGTCCCTCATCAGGGTCTGTTACACATACAGCATTGCCAATCAACCCCTCTTCGATGCATGACTACAAGTGCAAGAACAGGAAACAGATGGTGGGTGGATGTTCTCAAAATCACAACCTGTTCCACGTAGGGTGGGGGGCTTAGAGAAGCTGGGGAGGGGAAGAGGAATCTTTTTCCAGTTCGAAATGAAACTACTTTGTCAATACCAAACACAACGCCACCTCACTGTCCATCAGAGTGTCCCCTGCCACACACAGCTCACCACAGTACCCGGACGCCATGCCGGCTCTCCCTGGGGTGCTCCTGGGAGAGCTCTCCATTCCAAGGCTCACACTTGCCACAAAATGAGTGCGAGGGTGTATGGCAGAAGGGCACAGTAATGAGACAGGGATACTAAGGGTCCTGGGACTGATGAAAACCCCACCCCTGTTGATGACTCAGCCCCTCAAGGACACAACTCGGTCCTGTCCAGGAGGAGACACATCATTTGTTGAGCACAAGCCTCATGTCACGACCGAGCCAACACTTTTATAAACATCTTCCTAGGCTTCCTAACAGGCAGCTACTAGGATGATCTGCATTTTAGGGAAGAGATGGAGGGACAGAGAGCCAAGTAATAACACCAAGGTGAGTGTGGGCAACACCGAGACAGACAGGGCAGTGTGAGGAAGCCCATGGTGGAGGGCCCCGGAGGGCACCCTATCCATGGACAGCATGGCCAGGGTGAGCAGTGGAGGTATGGTGGGGTTGACCTGCCCTGGGCTTGGGGAAAAGTACATGCACATTTAGTACATGCACCTCCTGCAGGTCCAGAGAGTTATTAAGGATGCAGGGCAGGTCTCCTCCTGGTGGGGCTGCCGACGTCTGCTTAGCTTGTGATTCTTACTGGCAGGACCAAGGCAACCTCCCTGCAGCCCATTATTTCCTCACGCCCTGGTCTGAAGCCCCCTGGAGCTCACTTCCCATAAACCCAAGCTAGTTTGTCTGCACACAACTGTCAGTCTTCACCCTGCCTACTTCAACCACATGCCATCCTTCCCCAAAACCTGCCGTGGCTCCTGAGTGACAGACTGCAAGCAGCTGCCGCAGCGTCCACCCTACCTCTCTCTGGTCAGCAACCTCCCCACAGCTCTCACTTCCCAAGCATACAGCCTCCAGCTGCTCACTGTGGGCAGCACATGTTCTCCTGGCCGACCCTACCTTCCCCTGACTGTGAGCCAAACCCCAGCTTGTTCATGGCAGCAAATACCCGACTGCCCCTCTTCCTGGTAGGTTTGGGACCACTCTGGTGGATGTGCTGAGGACGGAAGACCTAGGGAGGACTGTCCCTTCCAAACTCACCTCATTCATCTTTCTTGCTCTTTCCTGGAATGCGTATGTGAAGCCTGGACACACAGCAGCCGTCTTTCTCTCAGATGACATGTCTAAGGCCTATATGTAAGGAGAGTGGCCAGACATCTGAGCAACCAGTGGTACACTAAGGCATCGTCCTGCTCCTGTGACTGCCAACGTGAATGTGGGCTAGTGTGGATGCCACTCTAACAGATCCTTCCAGCTCGGTCAGAGCAGCGTGATTACGTCCTTCCTGTGGGACCTCGAGGTTACTCCGCTCAGTCGAAGTACTTACTCAGCTTGATTTGATATGACGAGTGTTCCCTGCCAGCCTGCTCAGCCTCCCAGGGGGCAGGGGTCTCTACCTCACCAGTGTCTCAGAGGTGCTCTGCCCTGAGGCCAGGCTTCCTCTCTGAGCATCTCTGCGGTGCCCGCCACCACACACACACACACACACACACACACACACACACACACACACATATGGCCCTGTGGGTGCTGGGACCCTGTTCTGCCACTCTGCTCAGGAGCTGCTTTGCCTTGGGCAAGGTGGCTGACCTCTCCGTGCTGAAAGGGTGAGCTCACATCACGGGCTTGTCATGAAGACAAAGTGGTCTAATCATGAGCACTTAGAATGGGCCTGGCATATCAAAGTGCCTAATAACCCAGCTCTTATTAGTCTAATGAACAGTTGCAGAATGAATAAATCAACACAGAGTTGCTAAAGAAATGAATAAAGAAATACAACCCAGATGAATTCCTGGGTTCAGACCCCAGAGCAGGGGCTACTGCTGTTTTCCTGAGTGCACCTGTCTCCACCTTTTCCTTCTAAGGACCGAGCTTGTCCAGGGAGCTGCCACAGCACAGGGCTCAGGCCCAGAGGCCGGCCTGCCTCACAAACGAGCTCTGCCTTCACCCTGTCACTTGATCAAGCCCCACAGTCTCACCGCGCCTCAGTTTCCTCCACCACAAACTAGAGACAGGAGTGCCTGGATCACAGGTTTAGGCAAGGATTAAACCACTGAGCGTGCAACGCACACGGCGTCGTGTCCCGCACAATGCACAAGTGTTAACAAGTCAACAGACCTTGTCATCAGTCTTTCTTTGAAACACACAACATCTGCAAAATGCTCGGGTGGGGTCACCTGTGGGTGCCTGGACTCAGCACCACATCAGGAGACACCCTTTCCCAGTGCCGACTAACATCCAAGCCATTGTGATTCTTCCCTTTAACGGAGAATTAGCTGGATTTACTCTAAAACAGTGGCCTCTGCTGTTACCTTCAGGTGCATTCTTAGCTGACCTCAAACCAAGCTAGACAGAAAAGTTCAAGGTCACAGGCAAACCATCAAGAAGCTGCTTCTAAATAACACAAGTCTGCACATCACATTTCAGTCACTGTCAGTGATGTGCTCCAGCCTCACTTGTCGATTTCCCCTCTCCGGCCTCAAAAGATGTGTATACAACTCTGGGCAACTTTTCCTTTAAACTTAAACCTTTATGTTGGTTTCAACCACTTGACGGTTCCATTCATCTATTTTTACCGTTAAACATGCCTTTTTACAAGATATTTATTCCACTTGATCGTCGTCCAACTGCTTTTTGACATTACTGCCTCGGGACTGAACGGCAGCATACACTTGCGGCCCTTATAAATAGGAAATCACCTTTTGACTTAACTCTTAAAGAGCGATCAGAACCGCACCCTCGCCACCCGCGCTGCACCCACGCACGCATTCTGTTCAAGGCCAGGAAACACGCGAGGGTTTAAAGAGGGCCCGGGACCCACAGCGGCAGTGCGGGGCTCCTGTCCCCCAGCTCTGATCCGAAGGGGCCTGCCTCAGATCCGGGAGCTGCTAACTTTCAGAGAGAAAGTAGGGAACTCTGAAGGCCCCAACAGTGACCCCGGTCCAGGCAGAGAAGCAGCTCTAAGAGAGGCAGTCCCCATGTACCAACTCTCTCCTCTCCCCAGCCCAGACGAACAAAAGGCCATCGGGGAGCAGCTGGAGACGGGGACCCCGCCGGCTCCGACGCCCCTGTCGGGGAGGCCGGAGCAGCGGCGGCCGGGCTCCCGTGGCTTCCGCAGGGCCGGAGGGGCACGATGCTCGCGCCTCCCAACTTTGCGCTGCTCCGAGCCGTGCGGCCTCCCGCTCCGCCGCAGGGAAGGGTGAGTTTGCGGAGCTGCGGGGCCGAGCCGGGCGGCCACAAAGACAGCGGCGCCGCCGCCGAGGATTCGCCTCCGGTGGGGACGCGCGTGGGCGGGCGGGGCGGCTGCGGCGCGCGTGGGCGGCGGGCTGGGACCCCGGGACCCCGCGCACCTGAGCGGGGTGCGACACAGCGCCGCCTGCGGCCCGGCGCGCGGCTCCCGGCCCACGGCGCCCGCTTCCTGCCACCGCGCCACGGCGGGCGCCACGGCCAGCGTCACGGGGCGTAGGCGCGGGCGGGGCGGCGCGGGCTGCGTCCCGCTCGGCCCACGGCGCGCGCGGCGCGGCCCGTTCCGCGGTGCCCGGCGCCCGCGCAGCAGCGCCGCAGCCGGCCGGGCGGGGCGGGAGCCGCGGCGCGGCGACGTGACGCCCTGTCGGAGCGGACGCCATATTTTTTTGTGGCTGGTGTCGACACAGGCAAACGCAGACATGTCGTTCCTCTCCGGCTCCCGCTCGGGCTCGCCTCCGTCCCAACTTGTCACCGCAACTCCCGGCGGCCAGCCGCGGCCCCGGCCCCCCGCCCCCTGCCCCGGAGGCGCCACCCCGCCCCCGGTGGCGGCGGCGGCGGCGGCGGCGGTGGCAGCCCGGCCGGGTCCCCGGCGGCGCGCGCGGAGCCGGCGCGGTGGGAAAGTTGGGCTGGAGTGCGGCGCGGCGCGCGGGGTCGGCCGGGGGCGGGGGCGGCTCCGCGCCCGCCCAAGTTTCTTACCTGCGGCGCGGGGTCGCGGACGCGGGCGCGCGGGGGCCCGGCTGGGCGCGCGGAGACGAGCGCGGGCTTCCAAAATGGAACTCTGCTGCTCCCCACCACTCCCCACTCCCCGCCGGCGCCGGCCCCGGCTCCGTGGGAAACGGGCAGCGCCGGCGCGCCGGACGGACGGGCGGAGGGGCCCCCGCTCCGAGAACGGTGGCCGCAATTTTAAAAAGAAAAAAAAAAAAGAAAAAAAAAGAAAAAAAGAAAGAAAAAAAAGGGGGGAAAATGCCTCGATCAGTGGGGAATCTACGCCAAAACCCACATGATCTGTAACGTCAGCATGCGTATTTGCATACGATACCACCACCCGAGCTGGCACCGCGGCCGGCTCCGCACAAAGTTACAAAGTGAGGCTCGGCCCGCGGGCGCCGGGGATGTCAGCGCAGGCCGAGCGGGCGGGGGAGGCCGGCCCGCCAGGCCCGGCTCCCGGCCGGGGGGAGGGGGGTGCGAATTAACTTGGAAGTCCGAGCCCAGTAACGGACTCGGTGGAATCTTTGCGAGAAGCCGAGGGGGCGGCGCGAGAGAGATCATTGAATATTAAGCACGACCCTGCGCGGCCAAGCCCTCGCGGTACAATACCCATTTTCTTTACGAAAAGTTCAAGGTGTCAGCGATGAGCGACAAACTGTTGATCCTGCCCACGTGGAGTGGCGGGCCATGGGGGCGCGCTGACGGGATCGGCGCCCCAGCCCGGGGAACTTGCGCCCCTCGGCGCGCGTGGGCAGAGCGCGGGTGGGGCCTCCCCGCGCCCCGCGCCCCGCGCCCGGCGCTCGCCTGCGGGCTCTGGGAGTGGTGAGAAGTGTCTTAAAGGGAGACACATTTTGCTGCTGGACTAGTGACGAGAGGGCTCGCGAGGGCGGGGAAGGAGGAGCCCGCTTATGTAACTACGTGGAGTCACATCGCTTATTCGGGGGCATTCTGGGCTTTCGACTTGCACCCAGTCTGCGGCTGGTTAAAGATCTCCAAACTTTTTCCCTGAGGAGCCAATAAACAGACGCTCGGGAGCCGGCTTCAGCTCGCCGGCCTGCGAGCTCGGGGTTCTCGGCTCGGAGCCCCGCGCGCGCTTGCAGAGAGGTCCGGGGCCAGTGGACACACTCGGAACCGGGCCAGGCCCGCGGCCCCCGCGGTCGCCTCAGACTCGGGATTCGTGAACTTGCTTCTGGGGCAGGCGCTCCTTCCGCGACGCCTGGCCCGGGGGCTGCCAAGCTTGGGACCCCGCGCGGCTACCCGTCTGCGCCGCGCGTTCCTGCCTCGGTGGGCCCTGCTGTCTCCCGCGGGGGTGGGCGCCCCGGAGTGTCTCGGGTGGGCCAGGCGCCACTGCGCGGGGGCTGGCGCCAGTGGGTGGCGGTTGCCGTCCGGCGTGTGGTGTGGACGCTGAGCTCCGAGAGAAAACAAAGGCAGCCCGGCGGCGGCGTCCTCCCGGCCCGGCCTGCGGGTCTGCGGGCGCGGAGGGGCAGCCCGCGCTCTGCTCGGCTCTGCTCGGCTCCGCTCGGCTGAGGACGAACTCTAGCGGCGGCGCGGCTGGGCTCGGCGTGCGGGTGCAACAGGTGGCCGCGCGGCGCGGCGACGCGGGGGACCGGATGGAGCGGGCGCTGGTCCTCGCGGGAGCGCCTGACGTTTCTTGGGAGGAGCAGGTAGTTAAACGGGGTTCCAGGTCTGCCCTAGTGGTGTTTCTGTGACGTAAACCTTTATCCCCATCCCATTTTTAAACCATTAAAATAATGCTGCGCACAGGTTTCGGAGGGCAGAGCCCTGTGTGTCGTGCTGTTTCCTATGTGTGTGTTTTAGCAGCACAGAAAATAAGCTCTCGGCCTGGGAGGGGGTCTCCAGCGTGAAGCCTGGGGAGCAGAGCAGCAAACCCAGCATCCTGTCAGACCTCTGCATGCCTGAAGCCCGCCCTTGCTGTCTTTCTCTGCACCTGAGCCTCTCATCCGCACGTCCCCAGTCTTCTCCCGCCACGTCCCCAGGGTGTGCCAGAGCACTGAAAGGAAGAGGGAAACGAGATGAAACAAACTAGCGGCTCAGCATTCTTACAGCACATACCTTGCCACACCCTCCCAGTTCCCCACCATAGATATGCACACTGCTTTCCAGCCTGTTTACGTGGACATCACGCGGACCTCAGGGAACCTGGTCCTATTTTGAAGCTGCATCTCCTCTTGATGGTCATTTATGTTAGAGGGTTTCTTTCTGTCCTTGTTGCTATTGTACCGAGAATTGAACACATGGAACTCTACCACTGAGCTACAAACCCAGCCCTTTTTATTATTTTGAGCGAGGATGTTGCCTAGACTGGGCATGAATTTCAGATCCTCCTGCCTCAGTCTCCCAAATAGCTGTGATTAAAGGTGTGTACCACCTGTACACCAAGCTTGCCTTGCCTCCACGTCATTGCCACCTGCTTCTGAGTGGATAATGGTATAGACAGGTAGACAGATAAGAGAGAGGAGAGACAGACACACTCTGGCCCCTCTCTCTGGGAGCAGCCTCGGAAGTTCTCAAGACTGCTTCTGTAGCAGTAGGCAGGCTTTTGTCCTCCTGGGGGCACCCAGCTTCCTTAGGCATTATTTTCTTAGACCCTCCCTGCAAGTGTTATTTCCCCAGTTTTATAGATGGTGATAAACTTCTCCAAAGTCCACAACCAAGTCCACCCAATAGCAGAACCTGGATTCCAACCTTTGTCAGTGGCTTCAGAACCAGTAAAGGACATAAGAAGGTCATGGTTTCTGCTAGATGCCTAAGTGAGGAAAGTATCTTCCCGTTTCATGTTTTGGTGAAATGGAAATGGCAGCAGGAGAAGAAAATCCCGGTCTGGTGAGAACATGGCCACAGGGGCACGGAAGGGCAGCAGAGCAAGGCCACTTCCCTCCAACTGCCTGACTCCTGCCCATTTTGCTGGGTAAATATTTTTTAGAATAAGACTACAAACTGTAGAGAAACAGGCAAGAAAAAGAAAACAATTAGTCCTGCTGGGTACTGATTATAATCTGTCCATAGGTTGCATTTATTCTAAAACTCTTAAAAGAAGCAGAAACCATCAGTGATGAGTTTGCCAGCTGTAGCATGGGCAGCTACCACCAGCCTCACCTAGGGTAGAGGGAAATGCAGTGTGACCTTTGAGCGGGCAGGAACGGGAATGCACAGGAGACCGGTGTCCTTGCACTCCCTGCCGTGTGGTGGAGGTTCTGTGCTTCCTATGGCACTGGTGCCACTGGAGCTGGGACTCGTGCCTGGGGGTTGATAGCAAGGGCTTGAGTTGGCAGCAGTTTGAACTTGCTTAAAGTATAGAACTGGAAGTTTATGAAGAAGGCAAAGGCTGAATATGTGATGATTTGATCCTCATATCAATCCCTAAGCTAGCAGAGCCAGTCTTGTCCATTTTACAGAGGAGGTTGTTAAACAGTTGTGGCAATTAGTTCAAGTTCACAGGCTAAATCAGAACTGTGGCTTAAATCTTAGTCTTGCAAAGGTTCCAACAACCCATCCTCCCTTTTTAACAAATGGTGGTGGAGGGGCTGGACATCCACAAGTAGAAGGTTGAAACCAGATCCCTGTTTCTCACTCTGTACAAAAACCAACTCAAAATGAACCAAAGACCCTAATGTAGGACCCAAAACATTGAAACTATAGCAGAAAGCACAGGGGAAACTCTTTGAGATACTGGCAGAGGCAGTGATTTCTGGGATAGGACTCCAATAGCTCCGGAAACAGAAGTGAGAATTGCAAACAGATTGCATCAAAGTAAAAGGCTTCTGCACAGCAAAGGAAACAATACAATGAAGAGAGCCTTGCCCTCTATTATCTGACAATATTAGTATCCAAAATATATAAAAACTCAAAAAACTTAACCAAATAAGTTCAATCAGAGTACAAATGGCCTATAAATATATGAAAGAATGCCCAATACCTTCATTATCAGAGAAAGAAAACCAAAACTACACAGACAGCCATCTCATTCTAGTTGGAATGGCTACTATAAAAACAATAAAATAACAAATGCTGGCAAGGAGGTGGAGAAAAAGGACTCCTTTTGCACTATTGGCAACAATGTAAATTAATGCAGCCACTGTGGAACACAGTATGGAGATGCATCAGAAATTAGAAGTACTCTGTGATCTTGCTGTTCCGCTCCTGGGTGTATATAGGGAGGAAACGAAATCAGTACTCAAAGGAGATACCCACATACATGTTCATTGTGGCATAATTCATAATAACCAACATACAGAATCAACCTAGAAGCCTGTCAAGAGATAAATAAGGAAAATGTGGCAGACGTGCCCGGCGGAATATTGTGTAGTCACAAAGGAGAATGAAATCTGTCATTGGCAGGAAACTGGATGGACCTGGAGACTGTAATGCAAAGTGAAATCAATCAAACATAGAGACACTATGTATTTTCTCTTACCATGTGGAAACTGAGCAAAGAAGAAAAAGAGGACCATCTGAAAGTAGAGGACGGATTATTAGGGACCAGAAAGGCAGGCCAGTAGGCAGAAGGACGAGGTTAGAAGAACGGAGAGTGGACAAGATCAGTGTATAATGTATGCATGCAAAGAAATGTCACAGTGAAACTATTGATTTGAGTGGTTAGTATGTGCCAATAATTACAATAATAAAAGAGTGAGAATCCAAATGGTGTAACTTAAAGGTCAGTGCTGTTTTTGTGCCTCCTCTTTATCATTTGCTTTGTACCAGAAAGGGACTGGACAGACCCCTGTCCAGTGCTGCACCTCTTGTTTGGCAAAACCTTGGAACACAGTAGACCTGGTCTGTCTTTTGTCACACGCTCTTTCATGCGAACTCACTTGGTCTTTATTACCTTACTGCTAGAGTGGGAAGCCCTGCAGGCAGGAGTGCCGTTCAGCTGACTCCTGCTCACACCTGCCTGGCACGTTGAAATTGCTGAACAAATGACGAACAAATCCACAAATGCTTTTCCAAGAGCACACACGTCTGTGCGTCTTGAGCAGCCTACAAAGTGCTGTGCTTCCTGCAGTCAGGGCCACTGCTCCACGGTGCGTGGGCTATGGGCTCAGAGCTTACAAGATTCCTGGCACCAGAAACATTAGCTCTGCTTGGTATTTTCCTCATGCATTTGTTTCCCATAACCAGCTCATCGGACCCATGAGACAGCTGAAGGTCCTGGTGGTGCCGCCAGGACCACAGCCCAGGTCCCCCCACTTCTGTCTCCTGCTCACTGCACTGAAGATTTGCTTGTTAACACCCAAGCCTCAGTTGGAGAGAAACAAAGCTGTCCTTAGCCAGCGCACCCTGGGGCTGAGCATGATCACAGCTCAGGCCTGAGGGAAAAGGTTGCGAGCTGCAGGCAAGGCTGATGGCTGCCTTAAAGACGGGGTGACGATGTTTGCTGTTTCCTACAAAGATGGGATGCCATGTCTGAGCCTGCCTCTGTTTCTACAGTGCACGTAGGTGTGTTACGTAATTTGTGGGTGTGTCATTGAACTAGTCTGCGATTTGGTGGCTAAAATGCAGGGACTCTGGGGTTTCACTTCTTGCTCCAACACACATCCCACTTCTTGAGCTTTATCATGCTAAGTGGGGCCCATGATGGTGTCTGTCTTCCAGGATGGTGAGGTGATTCATGTAAACCATTGGGCTTTTCTACTCGATCTATCGTGAGGGCTCAAGAACTGTTACCTATTATTATTGCTTCTCATAGAAAAATAAATACAGAAGTGAAGTGTGGGGGTGCAAGCCTATAATTCCAGCACTCTAGGGGCTGAGGCAAGAGGATCACAAATTCGAGCCCAGTCTGGGCAGCTGGGTGACTTAGCGAGACCCTGTTTCAGAACAAAGCTAGGAAGGGCTAAGGATGTAGCTCGGTGTGAAGGCCTTGGGCTCAGTAGTCAGCACTGGAAACAAGCAGATGCACACATGTATTCAATCCTGAAAATTTAGGAAACTTATATAAATAAAGCATTTGTTGAAGCAACAATATTTATACATAAGTAAAATATAGAGTATAGGGCAAAACATATGGACAGAATACATATGGGAATCTGTAATGTATTTACAGTCTTTAAATTATATAAAATATATGTAGCATAAAAGCAAAAATAAGCACATTAAGGATAGAAATCCCTCAAATTTACTATCCAGGAGAGAGTACTGTGAATATTTTTCCATATATTATGCTTACATTAAGTGTTTATTTTAGAGTCTATGATTTCACATGTCATTCTAGGGACTGAGGATGCAGTTTATATAATAAGTTAGCACCTTGTGCAGTTGACCCTCCTCACCTGTGGGGGATACATTCCAAGACCCCCTGGGGTGCCTGTAGCTGCAGACAGTATCAAACCTGAGAAATACTATGTTTTCTCCCCAGTAACTGTGTGAGATGCTGATAAGGTGCGTGAAGAAGAAAAAGGCTTGGCAAGCAGGACGCAGTGGCTTCCAGAACTGTTGCGTGAGACAGGAATGCAGGGGAGCCCGATAGTAAACCTGCCTACTGTCTGGGGACTATTTTCTTGGCATGAAACTGTGGGTAACCTCTTAGTCTCTGGTACTGTTGTTTACTGGAAAGGTGACAGGAGCATTATACCAGTCGCCACAGGCTGGTTAGGCTGCAGTAACTAGTGACCCTTGCGGCTCAGTGATGTCAACCACAACAGTTTACTCTTTGCCCTTTGTGACATCCGTGAAGCTTC